AGCTTCAGGGAGGTATCGCTCTTGAACGCTTGGTGACTGAGATATGCGGGCAGCTGCGAGTCAGTCTTCTTTGAGTCGTCTGCATAGCTCGTACTGAGTATGTGCATTATCTCTTGCGGTGTTCCCAGCAAGATGGCCGAGATCGTATCTCGCGAGGTAAGTCCTCACCTAACGGTCTGGTTGGCTCATGTCGTTGATATCTCCGTCTAGCCAACGACGAAACCCTGAACGAATTGAGGAGGTCCAAGGACGCATCGTATAAATCATACTACGTGGAGGAGAAGGCGAAGCTGCAGGCTGGAACCCGCGAGCGGATCCTCAGGGAGATCACGGAGTGGGCCGCAGGTCATGACCAGCCTCATCGCATACAGGTGGTACACGGACCTGCAGGAGTGGGCAAGTCTGCGATAGCGCGCAGTGTATCGAAGCAACTCGCTAATACACCCGAAGTTCCTGGCGCGCTCGACCGGAGGGATGTGTACATTCCTTGTCTCCTTGGTGCTTCTTTCTTCTTCCAGCGTGCGCAGGCTGAATGCAATGATCCCCATCTCGTTTTCCCGACACTTGCATACCAGCTGGCGTATTCTAGGAAGGAATTGCTGCCGTATATTGCCGACGCTGTCAAGAAGCATCTACAGCATGGCGCTTCGCAGGCGATGGAACATCAGCTGCGCGAATTGATCCACGATCCATTACTCCAGGTTCCCTCCGGCGCGATTACATTACCGCTAGCGCTCGTTGTCGATGGAGTGGACGAATGTGTTAACATTCCTACCGACGTCGTTCCGAACATGCTACAGCTTCTCTGCCAAATGACACGAGAACTGCCTTTCCTGCGTCTCTTGGTCTTCACGCGTCCCGAAACCTACATCATGGACGCGCTGCCTCCTCCGGGTAACCCGGACGTCATCGTGCGGAACCTCTGGGAGGACGCGAAGGATGAGATCAACGCAGATATCCGCATCTTTGTCAACGCCGAGTTCCAGACATGCACCAGCAAAGGGAGGTTTACACTACTTCAAGAACGGCCTGATGCAGTGGAGAGGTTGATACAGCTTGCGGAAGGCCTCTTCATATATGCAAGCACGGTTGTGCGCTTCCTCGTGCAGGACCCCCTTTACGCCGTAGTCATCTACGACAAACTACTTGAGACACAGGGGTCCACCGGTTCGCCAGGTCTCTATGACAAGCTGGACCTGCTCTACAATACGATTCTTCGCGACGCTTTTGGAAAATTCCGGGCAGATGCCACTCGCATGGGCCACATACGACAGGTCCTGACCTGGATCGTGCTATCCAAGGAAGTCATCTCAGCGCAAGACCTCTGGCTCGTGGGTATTCCAATCAACATCACTTTGGACATTGTCGGACGTCTCAGATCAGTCCTGATCGTTCCGGAGGATATCAAGCCAGACACGGATTTCAAACCGTGTCATGCTAGCTTTCCCCAGTTTGTTGTCGACAGCGCGCGCTGCACAGATACAGGTTTCCTCGTGGAGCCCCAGGCCGGGCACACCATGATTGCCGACTGTTTGCTCACTCTTCTCGCATGCCAAGACCCTCACTTGGTGTGCACGGCACCGGACAGCTCCTTGAGGTGGATGTGGCGATATGGGAATACGCATTGGACGACGCACTTGCTCCAATCGCAATACACAGATCGACTCGGTCGCCTTCTTCGGGCGTTCGCGAGGAAGCATCTGGAGCTGTGGCTCTATAGCTATCCACCCTTTGAAGGACTGCGACCAGGAGGCGGGAACAGGTCAGACCAGCTCGGCAGTGTGCAGGATTGGTGCAAGGTCTGTTGAACGTCTCCTCGGTGTTTGCGTCGTTGACTGTAGGGTCTAAGGCGCATTGCGGCTCTGACGAGCGTCTCTTGAAGCAGCTTGACAAAATCATCTCGACGAGAGGCGAGAGACAATCCCGCAGTGTTAACTATGGCAGAAGAGTCGTCAGTAACGATATCCACGTAGTGGAGAACGAGGGAATCCGTTTGAATCCAGAGGTTCGTAATGGAACTCACTTTTCCATTGCGGATACTAACCCTGCACCTGACTTGAATCATCTCCGGTCACGCATAGAATGAGGACTTGGAAGTCGATGACGCTACGCCAACGTGATGCCTAGAGCCATCCCACACCCAAGCAAAGAGCGGCATACACATCACTCGACGAACAATTGAAATCATTTATGCCTGACAGGATCTATGCGCTACTTCGATTCAGGCCGATTATGAATATTGGCGATGCATACCGTTGAGAAAGCGAAAAAATGGAAATTAATAATACAGTACTGATACAACAATACACGAATGATCTCCTATAAACAATCTATGCACCAAAACCGTACAGAGTGCGGCCAGACCGCTTGAGCGCGTAGACGACGTCGAGAGCGGTGACGGTCTTCCGCTTCGCGTGCTCGGTGTATGTTACGGAGTCACGGATGACCTGCATGAGATCGTGAGAAGAGTCGCGAGGTGCAAGACATAGGAAATGCTTACGTTCTCGAGGAAGATCTTCAGGACGCCACGGGTCTCCTCGTAGATGAGACCGGAGATCCGCTTGACACCACCACGACGGGCAAGACGACGAATAGCGGGCTTAGTGATACCTGGAGTTCATAGTTAGCATTAAAGAGGAACAGTCAGAATCCCAGTTACTCACCCTGGATGTTGTCACGAAGAATCTTGCGGTGGCGCTTGGCACCACCCTTTCCGAGACCCTATTGATAGCGGGGGCTTGTTGAGGATACAAGTTCGAAGAGTGTAGAACTACTCAAGCTTACCTTTCCACCCTTTCCGCGGCCAGACATGTTTGTTGAGTGGGAGAGGTATTAGTGGGTGAAAGGCGTGTGTAGAGGTGGGGTAAGCGGCAGAAACTGAAAGATGGCCGTTTGGAGCCCCGGTGTATATAAAGGCCGCGGCCACGCGTCTGTGGCAAACCCAGAACAGTCACGTGCGGCAACCTTATTTTTGTTGAACAGCGTTCAACGCGCCGCCCACGTGGCGCTCGCGACGCGTCGGGCCGCGTCTGTATATAAACCAAGCCTCAGTGCTAGTTGGCTTTATTTACGCCTTGCGCCCTTACCTCGCCACTAGCCACCTTTCTTCCCCAATCATCCTCGTATTCTTCAATGGCTCGTACCAAGCAGACCGCCCGCAAGTCCACCGGTGGCAAGGCGCCCCGCAAGCAGCTTGCTGCCAAGTCCGCCGCGCGTAAGACTGCAGTGAGTAACACTTCAGAGTCTTGTCGAGGACTTGGGCTGAAGGTTGGCGCAGGCTGCAACGACCGGTGGTGTGAAGAAGCCTCACCGCTTCCGTCCTGGAACCGTCGCTCTCCGTGAAATTCGTCGGTACCAGAAGTCGACCGAGCTCCTTATCCGCAAGCTTCCCTTCCAGCGTCTCGTCCGTGAAATTGCGCAGGACTTCAAGGTCTGTTTTCTTTATTCCATTCATTTTTTGACTTCTAACATCTCGTACAGACCGACCTCCGCTTCCAATCCTCCGCCGTCATGGCGTTACAGGAGGCAGCCGAGGCGTACCTCGTCTCGCTCTTCGAGGACACCAACCTTGCTGCGATTCACGCAAAGCGTGTTACCATCCAGCCAAAAGATCTCGCACTGGCACGTCGTCTACGCGGCGAGCGGTCATGATTTGCTATTTGTTTGTAGGAAGGGGATAGAGTGCCGCGCGCTATGACCTGTACTATTATGAGTGTATCATATCCTAGCCTGGGTCCAGTCTAATTATTCCACATCGTCTCTGTATTTTTGCATGGGCTGAGTGCTTTGGGAAGCGTTGAATGCCGTGTCGATGAGCAGAGTGCAAACGAGCGCGCGACGTTCGCGGGGCGCGCGTTCGAGCATCGACGCGATCGCGACGCGTCGTAAGTCACGTGAGTTCATTCGGCCCCCAGCAGTCGTTCCCGAGCCGGCATCCCAGCGTATAGCTGCGTACGTGTTCATCCCACACTTCCGTCTGAAATACTGTTACCTCCTTCAGGAGTCTCACAATACACCTGTCCACCGTCCATGTCTGACCCCGTCGCAGCGAAATCTGGCTTCCTATGCATGTACATGTCCAACCACCCAGACACGCTCGTGTCGTATGTGCGGCACTTCGGCAAGGTCAACGATAATGTCATCAGCGCGGAGATGACTGCCATCGATACTAAGGTACGAGATAGCCATGAACCGATTGTATGCGCATGGCATGACAACAATTATTGGAATAGGGTATGTCCTTGGCGTACAAGACGAAAGGGAGCGGAAGCAACAAGATTGACATCCGGATTCTGTTTGAGCCCCCGCTTTTAGGCTATGAAGAGGTGAAGCCACGATTGTTGGGCATGAAGGTCGATGCTGAGGAAGCAATGGGTATGGTGAGTGCCTGTCTACCTCTCAACATTTCGCGTCCGATCGGACCTGACCGTTCGCAGACCCGCGCGCCGAAGGTCACAACTTTCGAGCTTCCTGGCCAAGTCCTCCTCACCGCCGCCATGGTGGGATTCCTCGTTTACACGACCTTCACGCCCTCACCGGACTCGCCTAACTACTCTCCCATCTTCGCCCCCGGCTACTCCCTCCGCTCCGTCCTCCCCTCCTGGGTGCTCCCGAGTAGCTGGGCCTTCATGGTCGCCGTGCATTTACTTGAGGCTCTGTACACGCTAAGCCTAGCCCGGAAGCATGATATGGATTTTTCGATCGGGGTACGTAAATAGGTTGCTTGCCCCGACGGTCAAGGGACATTGACTAGGCCTTCCAGGTATTGCATGTTGTGACGACCTTCGTGTTCGGCTTCCCTATCATCACCAACTTGCGTAAACGAATCCAAGCAGCACGCATAGATAGCATCATGAAAGGTCAATGATGTCTATCACTCGAGCTTCTAGTGCCTGTACGATATCTTGTATTACTTCTCGTATGATGAACTTGTGTGGTGTGTGCTTCTCGTCCCGCTGCTGTGGAACACCTGATATATACCATAGAGGACATCTGCACATGGCTCAATGGTCTAGTCGTATGATTCGCGCTTCGGGCGTTACTGCTTGCGCGAGGTCCCGGGTTCAATTCCCGGTTGAGCCCCTATTAAAATGCAGGAGTAAATTTTTTGTTGTATTACTCGTTAAAGTACTAAGCTGTGCATAGCTGTGAAGCTTCTGCAATTTTCCAAGAGGCTTAGAAAGCACTTGTGTGGTCCTACATCTGCTTTAAGTCGGGAATTATCACAAAACATGTTATGACGTGCCTTCTATGTCGCCGACACTCGCGAGTCATCTGGCCGGAAATTAATCGTAGATCTTCCTGTGTTAACTTTGTCAGCCACCAACGGGTCAGGAATGGATATTTACAACAAGCGTGTAATCCCACTCCTGAATTGTCGCGTATTTCTCCCGCCGCCGAACGCCAAGATGCAGCGCTATTATACGAGGTGGACACATGATGCATTATAAATGTCCCAATCTGATGGTCGCCCTACCACAAATTTCCACTCGAATATATCTGGAATGGAGGGCTTCAGCAGGGAACCACAGAGATGTCCCTGACGAGACCTTCGACGAGGTCCCTTTGTTGTATAGCTTCGAAGGACGCGCCAAGGCGAGGTTCCAGTGCCACAGGTAGAGATGTCACGTATGGTGGCCACAATATAGAGCATGGAACCATGGAGTGCATAAGGTCGTTAATTCCTGCAACGGAATTACAGGAATGACTGTGCGTACCATAAGTGAGGCGATGCATCGAAACGATTGAGTATAACAATTAAATCGACGCCATCAGTCTGGGGACATCCTCGAGGACTTCGACTAGTGGCTCTGGTCCATGTGATCTATTATTGCAGTAACAGAGAGTGAGCCGTCGTGGACGTAAGTCGCGCGAGATAGCTAGCAGCCATTGTGGATTCCAACCATGGCAGTCGATCTGTGCTAGCCAAGTCGATAACAAAAATACAGGACAGCTGATGTTCTGCAGGTAGCTCCAACATCCGTGACGCCAATTCTGCATGTTTCGCGATCGTTCAAGCTCTAGACACTCAACGGTCTATAGAGTTATAGACTCTATAAAGGCCAGGGAAACCAAAGGCGATGCCGTGCGTCCAGATGCTTGGATCAGCCTTCCGGCACCCGCATACACCTGAACAATAAGTTCCCCCACGTTCAGCAACAAAAGGAAACAAAGCGAATGTGTTCATAAGATCAGGGTTTCGGCTGAAAATAGAGCCGAAAATTGTAATACGCAGTTATATGCGGTTGTGAGAGAATGACAGACCTTGGGCAAGAAATGCGATAGATAGAGGGAATATCGCGTCGTGTAATGAGCACTTGTGAGCTTCAACCGAAGAAACCCTGCAAAAGCGTCATTACGTATGCATGAACAGACTGACTGCGGCTCGCGAGTGGCCTCGAGAACAGAACGTTGTTGAAGCAATATGGGACGTCTCGGACGCGCAAAGCAGAGCATGTCTTTATCAAACGCAATACTTTCTCCTTCTCCAGGTGAAACATCATGTAAATAAGCACACCACAGCCGAGTGCGGATTTCAGCGAGCCTCTAACTTAGTCAACCTGTGGCCACTGGCTATCCTCGCCGTGGTAACGTAGTCGTCAGTAGCCACTATTCAGTGAATGCAAGCATCCTCTTACCTAAGTGTTACTTCTCTCCCCCAAAAAATCACACATCAGTTTGGGGCACAACGAGACGAGTATCTCACTGAGGATGATGTTGTCCCCGCTAGAATGTATGTGGGCAGGCGTTCGGTGGTGGAAACGCTCGTTCCGGCATCGCCCGGCAATTTCCATTCCTTTGACGCTCAGTGTCGAACACATTTAATAACTTTACGATCGATGAGTCTCTCTGATCCACAGACATTTTGAAGTGTCTCATTCTACACCTCAGCGAGATTATCTTGAAGGGCGGGGATGGAGGATGCTCTCGAAAGTACCTCTACAGACTGCCGTACGCCTTCGAAAAGGCGCTCCAGGCTCTTGGTCACTTCACCCTATTTCAGCCCGAGTAAACGGAAACTTAGACGGAAGAAGACGGCTATTTCTGAGCCAGACATCAAGACCGAAGTCTTACATATTCAAAACAGTATCTTGACTAGAACAACAATTCCATCGTCCTACGTAACATCCGCAGAAGATCATAGCAACGAAGATGAAAAGTGGCACATGAGCCTGCTGTCTAGCGCAGACGCACATGCCGAGTATCGCCTACTATTCCGGAACCCGTGCTTCCGAAATTTCTATGTTACTTTCATGTGTGCATACCGACGACTCTATCTGGCAAAACCAATTCTCATCCAAGGTCGGTATCACGATGACGCGCATTGCCCTCGCTTGCTGACCCGTCTCGCAATCTCAGAGCAGGTGGCCGATGATCCGTGGAAGGTCTTGATTGCTGCTATGCTGCTCAACAAGACCGCGGGGAAGCATGCGGTTCCCGTCTTCCTTGACCTCACGGAACGTTGGAAGACACCTCAAGCGATGTCTCTAGGTAAGACGTTCTTATGCGCAGCCAGACTTTGATTGGTTTTCTCATGATTTATCCAGCTCGTCCAGATGTATTGGAAGACCTTATTAAGCACTTGGGTCTTGGGAAACAACGCAGCAAGCGCATTATAGAGCTCTCTCAGGTATACCTGGGCGATCCGCCAATACCTGGTGCCATGCGTGTGTCGCGATGCTACATAACAGTGCAGACACAGGCGTGCGAGAACGGGTCAATCGGTCTTATAAAGATGCGCTATCCGCCAACGCCGGTCTCTCACCTGCCTGGGAGCGGTCCTTACGCTCTTGATTCATACCGCATCTTCTGTGAAGGCGCGGCTGCCTGGGAGTCAGTCCTCCCTTCCGACAAGGAGCTGATAAAATATCTCGTGAGTTATTAAAAAGTTGTTCCTTGTATATCCGGGATCGCTGACTATCGCCGTGTTCAGAAGTGGAAATGGGCGTTCAACAAACTGCGGCAGTGGGATCCGTCGCTTGGGCCTGGCATGCTAGCTGATTTGGAGTATATGGAGCAGCTGACAAAGGAACTACACCCACAGCCCGACTAATGCAAACTCCCATCCTATTCTCGCTACTGCTACAATTTCATTGATCTTGCATCTCGTGACTCTATGCGGAACGCGCTGGTGTACATAGTAGCCCCACAACATTCTGACATTGTCGGGATCTGGATCTCGAGTAATTGAATGTACACCACAGATCGAGATGTCGGCGGTGAACGCAATCATGGATTATCTCGATGAATAACATACTTTCGGGTAAGAGAGACCCGTGCGGAAGGCGGGCGCTCGATATGCTTGGCATTATTTGTGCGTGTGGGCGTGCTCGCTTATTTTATTGTCCTCCTTTGCTCGAGCGACGTTTGTCGAACCCCGCTGCGGTCGAGAACGCCACGCGTTATTCCCTTCAATGGACACAGCCTAAGTACTGTCCGTATCTAAGGATTATCTTGTATCATATCTATTCTTGTTTTCGGAATATTGTATGAATGGAAAGCGAAGGACGCGACGGTTCCCTACTGGCCGCAATCGCAGAGAAGGACGCACACGTGAGGCTTCTGAACTCTGCTGCCAGCATGCTGATCATGAATCCCTCTGATTCTGTACGTACAGATCACCAGACTACGAGTTCAAGTAGAGGCGCAAGCAACACGCGCATCTCAAATCCAGGCTCGGTTGTTGTCGACAATCGATGCCCTCGATGCTCTTCAACAGTCTCATACAAGAGAACTAGCGGAAGAACAGCGCGTCTCGGAGCGTCTCACCCATAGGCTGCATCGACTTATGGAGCACGTCAAGGTGGTGGACAGGGAGAGAGACGATATGCGAGACGCCGTGTTGAGGTTGGTTGAAAAAGGTGAGTCTCACCTCTTGAGACGGCGGAGGGTGTACCGGCATCCGCGATCAATACTCATCTATGTACTCTATATCACATGTAGTTGAACTGGTGAATGATTATGCACTTTGGCCTCACAGTCACATAGACTTGGGAAGTCCCGTTGGTCTGTCTTCCTAAACTAGCTATACGATGCGAGAGTCTGAGACGTGACACTCCCTGTCAGAATCCCTCCGCAAATCCAGTAGCAGCCAGAGCTCCGATTCTGAACATGGACTTGTACGCACTCATGCACCCGTGATGATCGCGACCCTGCGGACCGAATTAGATGCGGAGCGCCGCGCCCACGCCAGAACACGCGAAGAGGCCGAAGCGGAGATCCTGTCGCTCGGAATGCGGCTCGCTCGCAGGGAAGCTGAACTCGAAGCGTTCGTGACGCGCCCAGAACGTCGTGTTCGCGAGCTAGATGCCGCGGACGTCCAGTCGGCGACGATGATGCACCCCGCTTCCAAACCTGTCAATGATAGGCAATCAGAAGGAATTTCTAGCGACCAATCGACGCGCCGCGCTCGGCCGCATCAATTTACGCAAGAGGAAGCCGTCGAAGTTCTGGGAATTGCGAACAGCAGAAACCGGGCATTAGAGATAGAAGTGAAGGACCTCCATAAGCGTGTAAGTGCCGGATCCCAGCTCTTTGTTCTTGAGCCGAGCCGGACTAATCTCGGGGTGCTGATAGCTCGAAGCGGCGCGGCAGATAGCCCGCCGTGGACGCTCTCCAGAACGTCGGAGTCCGCAACACATCGCTGAGAAGGTAATGCATCGGTCCTCTGATGCGCCCCAAGCTTCCCCACCGGAGGCGCCACAAGCTTCGTCTGCCGGCGCCGCCGGAGGTCATTCCCCCGCAGTGCTCGCCGCAGGCCCGAGGACCCGCTCACACGCATCAGTTGCGGATCCTCCAGGGAGCCCCCAACTAGCTCCGTGTTCGGCTCGCCTTTCGCCTTCTCCATACGTTCTATCTCCTCGGACAGCGGCGGCGACTCGTGCCCCTTCGCGTCAGGCTTCTCTAATCCCGCCGTCAGCGATCGGTGCCGAGAGACGATCGCAAGGTTTTGAGCAATTGAAGCAAGAGATTACCCGTCTGAGTTCGGAGGTCGATATCATTAGAGCGGAGCACGACGAACTGAGAAACATCGTGGCGGTCAGTCAAGTGCGTCCGAAATTACTATCTTTCCGCATGAATTA